CCACATCACAATTGCACCCCGTTCATGTGAACTGCTGCAGGTGTGTATGTTCAGTTAACAACACCTCGAAATCAGTTCACAAACCATGGTGCGATGTACAGAATCGGATCGCAAAGGTGTGAATACCCATGCGACCCGATTCTGGTGCAGACAAAAAAAGGGTCCTGTGCGATCTGAGCCATACAAAATGTATGGCTCAAATTTCACTGCACAGAAATCGCATGTGATTTGCATAGGAATGCGGTGTGGTTCCGGTGCGAATCACATGCGATATGCCGCACCTTACAAGTGTGAATGCAAGCTCTCCTAGATTGTAAGCTCCCAGGATCAGGCCCTCCTAACCCTCTTGTATTGAACTGTATTGTTGCTGTATTGTCTCCCGTTATATTGGAAAGCGCTGAGTAAACTGTTGGCTCTATATAAATCCTGTATAATAATAATAATAATAATGTATGTGAAAAAAGTCAAAAATTGCCCTGGGCAGCTAGTAGTTAAAGGATAAAATGACGCCAGCATTTGGTTCAATATTCAGCATCACTAATGGGATTTTCTCTGCAGTACATTTTTCTGCTACTAGATGTCCTCAGTTTTGACAGCCAGCATCATTCGCTCCCTCTGAGCCCAGGTCATCCTGGACCCGCCCCAGCCTGTGACTGGACAAAGAAAGGATAAGCAGCACACTGATAATCTCATCTGTCACTTTGCTTTTTCATCCAATCTGCAAATTGGCTCCTTGTACTGCTTCTCCCTTTTTCCCAGTCTGAGCCCTGCTGTACAAGGACTGCAGGAGGCTGATACCAGCTCATATTCAAGAACTTACACGGCTTGCGTTTAAAAATTACATTTCTTTCTGTTAAAAAAAAAAAACATTTCTTGACGTACTATTGATTGCAAAGCTGCATTAATTTGTGTCTTTTAGAACTGCCTGGAGTTAAGTGTTAGGCTTTCATTTGTATTTGTTGTGTGGAATGAATACCTGGTGACATCAGGCAGCAGAGTCTCCTGGATACTGTATACAACACAGCTCATTTCCTTCCTCTTCTCTGTGATGATTAACAGACTGTTTCAGAATCATTGACTTTTCTGTGCATCAAGAAACAGAAAAACATCCAGAACTTTTTGTCCTGTGCTGCCCATTGAGTGTATGGAGAGGTCTGCTGTGCAGATACATAAACTTTGATCCAGATCTATGGACAATAATCAGGGCAATCGTGGGATAATCTGTAAACTTTAAACTGAAGGCAGCATTGTATGCCAGGAACTGCTCTCCTCTCCTCCCCTTTTTTCCTGTCCCTCCCAGAGGCCAAACCCGGAGATTTGCAAAATCCTGAATGTTTTAAAAAAAAAAAAAAGGAACCAAGAAGAGAGGCCAGGGACTTTCTGGGAGACAAATTCAGGTCACCACACTGAGCAGGTAGAGATCAGATTCTGCGGCATCAGAAATATGCCCATCCTGTAGGAAGATTGGGGTTTATATAAAGTTTTTTTTTTCTATGACAGATCTGCTAAGTGCAGAAGAGCCGCCAACAGTAAACTGCACAGAAAAGAGTCTACATCCTGAAAAAGGTAAGTTGTCTCTGTGTTGAGTTGTCTCTGTGTTACATTACTCTGTGTTTTATTGTAGTATTTTTGACAGCAAAATGTCCAATTCTCCTTAGGAAATGCAGAGCAGACTGTTTTAGGGCTGGATGATGACAAATACTTTACAAGTCTGCCCTCTTGATGAAAACTGTTATTTGCTTTCCATAAAACTTCTTTTTTCTGATGTAGCTTTGCACATAAGATCTCTAATCAGTCTCAGCCCATCTAGTTACAGCAAGGAACTGTAGAGACGTGGGATACTCCTCTGTAGAGACAACTCTGCGAAAAAAAAAACTGCATTCAAGTTTTCACTGCTGGGCAGAAAAGAAAATGTTAAGGCCCTCTGTACAGATATTAGGGAACACAACAGTCAATGATAATAAACCCAAAGGTAAAAAAAGTAACATATTGCAATCCAATCCTTAAAGCAGAACTAAACCCATCCATTTAACCAACCAAAACAGTTACATTCAAGGCATGCCACAACTGATACAGTTGCTTGCGCTCTCAGCTGAACTGTCAAGCTATCAAATGTCTGGGGCCATAACTGATCACATGTGCAGCACCATAGCGGCTGCAGGGCAAACAGAGGCTAACATGTCAACTTCCTTGGCTGTAAAGAATAGGAGGGTTTATTATATTATTATTATTATTATTATACAGGATTTATATAGCGCCAACAGTTTGCTCAGCGCTTTCCAATATAACGGGAGACAATACAGCAACAATACAGTTCAATACAAGAGGGTTAGGAGGGTCCTGCTCCTTGGAGCTTACAATCTTAGTAGTAAAGCTTTAAATATAGTGGCTGCATTTGTTTTTTCTTTTTTAGGTTTTTATTTTATTTGTATTTTCACCTGGTGATCTGGCCAGTAACACACTTCCCGTCTTATGGTGTCTGCACTATAGAGGGACAGTGGAGACACCATTTGGACAGCAGCATTGTCACCCTGTGGCAAGGGTAGTGTTAGATGCATTAGCACACAGGTGTCAAACTGGCGGACCTCCATCTGTTGCCAAACTACAAATCCCATGAGGCATTGCAAGACTGACAGTTACAAGCATGACTCCCAAAGCCAGAGGCATGATGGGACTTGTAGTTTTGCAACAGCTGGAGGGCCGCCAGTTTGACACTTTGTGGGGAGGGTAGTGTCAGATGCATTAGCAGATTTAGATAGATGTCACCAATGAAACACTTTTTAAGCAGTTACAGAAACAGTATTAGGTTTTCACTCAAGTGATGAAAAGCTGACCATTGTAAGCACTCCAGTCAGTGTTAAATGGTTTGCCACTTTTGCTGGACAGCTTGGTCTGTTGAAGGAAGTTGAAAAAAACATACACATTACAAACTAACCATAGTACCATACAATCATTGTACAATCACTAGATTTTACAAACCTATATAGTAGGGGGACTCACCTAATCTATCCAATCTATTTGTAATTCAATCAGGCAAGTGCTTGCACTACATAGTTGGTAGATCTACAGGAGACTGTACAATCAGATTGTAGCGTGTGTGGTGAGCTTAACTGGCCAAATTAACAAGTGAAAAAGAAGGGGAAAAAACTCCAAAAATTATAACTAATGCAGCCACTACATGTATTTATTACTTTTTTTATTCTTGGGTTTAATACCACTTTATGCTGGTCATACATGAATCATATTTCAGCCAATTCCTGCTGCAGAATCAGCCAAGATGTGTGTTGTGTATTGACACAAGAGGGTGGTTAGATTGGCAGGCAACACACTATTTCAGCCAGGTTCCTAAACATGCATGGTTGGGTCACCCCTTGTTTGTCCTATTAGCCTCGGTTAACACTAATAATGCTGCATAATCTTGCCTTTTAAAGTGCATTTTTGATGCATTTTCATGCTTCATGTATTTTTTTTTTTGTAGAAGGATGCTGGATTTTATACACAAAACTCACATATGTACATTCATTTTAATGGGGCAAAAACACACATTGCTGTACCAAAAGAAGCACCTGCACCTTTGTAAAAGTTGTACTGTGCCATGTCTCCATTGATGTGAATGGGCACCATAGAGAATGTGATTTCCATTGTCGTGTGGTGCATGGCAGTGCGACGACAGACACAGGAGAAATCATACTAGTGTGAACAGGAGCCTTAGGACACCTACACAGCCTTCTTACTTTTAAAATAATCATTGTTCCAATGACAGCAACAGTTTATTTGTGTAAACAAATTATTCCTACACAAATTATCTGCTGCAACATGGGCATGTCTGTCTGTGGCCAGATTGAGCATTAGAGTGACTATTACCTCCCCTACCCGGCTGTCGCTGCTCAGATTGCCCAGGCCAATCACAGCAAATACACTTCCAGTGATGATGAGGTTATGTTGACTGTAAAGCTGGCCGTACATGGTTAATTTTTTTTTTTCGTTAAGCCAAAAAACTGAATCCTCCATCCACACATTTAAGGTGGATGGGGGAATCCTCCCTGCTGCACTATTGTATTCTAACAGCAGGGGGAGACTTCCCCTGCTGTCACAATATATAGTTAAGGGATCTCCAAACTGTGGCCCGAGGGCCAGATGTGGCCCTTGGCTGGTCTTTAAATGGCCATTCGGGCACTATTCCTCACAGTGGCAACAACAGTGGGGCAAAATTTCTTCCACTCATACTAATGATGAGATACTATTCCACCTACTAATACCAATGAAGGGCACTACTCCTCCTCCTACTGACCACCAACCCCGAGGCCATGTTTATTCTTACTGATGCTGGGCCCAGGACATTTTCCAGCCCCACAGGTCACAATCTGGCCCTCCTAAAGTCAGAAGGATAGTAAACTTGGCCCTTTGAAAATTTCTGAGACCCCTGATATAGATCATTGCTGCAGTCTTTTGCCTGCAATGCTGATCGAGCATTTTTTTTTTCTGATAGGGAAGCTTGAACAGAAGTTGCTCGGTAGATTGACTTATTATCAACCGCAGTAGTCCACATGGATCAAAATTCAGACAGCCCCTGCTGAACTGGCCAAAGATCGATCCATTTATGGCCAGAGTGGAGAGAGATTAGAGCACGTATTAGGTATTTATCTCTGTGTGCCCCCACTAGGGAGATGTACACTTATTATTTGGCCTGTTTACTGTTATCATTGAAAGTGGAAGTAAAAGAAAATCCCAGATTTTGGGTTGTCCCCGGAAAGTTAATAGAGCAAACATTTTCCAAGGGGGACACTAGTTCTGGTGACCTGGGGGTCCCCAAGGAACTCCCTTAAAGTGTTACTAAACCCAGGAGCCTGCATTCACTATATCTGGTCTCCCACAGTACACAGAACATGGAAATGCAATTATTTTAGTAAATATAAACTGCTAAATACCTTTTCTCATCAGCAGTTAAAGCAGTCTTGTGACTTCTATCAGTGTCCACCTGAACACTGGTTAAAACCTGTAGGAGGAGTTTTCATTCTGCTCTAGGAGGATGGAGAACCACTGACCTTTGTCTGGACAGTGCTGATTGGCCCTGTGCTGATCACATGCACTCTTCCAAGAAAAATAAAAACCTCTTTAGCAATGCACACCAAACTGAGCATGTGCAGAGTGACTCCACATGATATGCCTTATCATGAAATAAAAGGGGGGACACTGGAAGAAGGGGAGGATCAGAGAAGTCGGGATCAGGCAGCCTTTTACACAATGCAGAGGATTAACCCTTTAGGTTCCACAGTGAGTATAACAAGCATGCTTTACTGCATATACAGCCTGATTTTACTGTTGTGGGTTTAGTAACACTTAAATTTGCAGGGATTTTCTCTCATTTCCTGTTTTGGCTATGGGACAGGAAGTGAAGGTAATTTTCCCTAATGGGACACAGATGACAAAAAAAAACGGTCAGGGGTTATAACTATCCTTTACGCCATCCAAAATTTAAAAAAAACATTTTTTTTGCCTATACTTCTGCTTTAAGCCCTGTGGGTCAGTGATCACTGTCTCCCAAACAGTGATTGAACAGATCCTTATCTGTTCCTTTCAGTCTACTGAAGTGTGAAAATTAAAGTGTGGCGTGTATGGTCACCTGTTACCCCTTGACCTGTACTACAGGAGGAGGAAAATACACTCTGCGAATGGAGGAATTAGACCCTTTGGAAGGAATAATCAGAATTCCCTAGACCAGTGGTCGGCAAGCCGCGGCTCGCGAGCCACATGCGGCTCTTTACACACTTTAATGCGGCTGTTCTGTGTGCCGGGCGCCCGCTCCCCTCCCTCCTCTCGGGTGGCCACCCCAAAAGTCAGGACTCTGCAGCTAGCCCAGCAATGGGCAAACTACGGCCCGCGGCCATATACGGCCCGGCGGACCTTTTAATCCGGCCTGCGGAGCGTGGCAAACATTGGCTGTCAGGATGTAGGCGGGGCAGCGTGACGAACTCCTCTCCTCTCACAGTCCGCCCTGAAGACCGGAAACGGCGCGGGAACATGGCGAGAGGAACGCGTGGAGAAAAGGTAAGTGAATTGACACAATATGGGGAATGAATTACTATAGGGGGGATGAATTACTATAGGGGGTTGAATTACTATATGGGGGATGAATTACTATGGGGGATTAATTACTATGGGGGATGAATTACTATATGGGGGATTAATTACTATGCGGGATGAATTACTATATGGGGGATGAATTACTATGGGGGATGAATTACTATATGGGGGATGAATTACTATATGGGGGATAAATTACTATATGGGGGATAAATTACTATGGGGGATGAATTACTATATGGGGGATGTATTTTCAGTTTTAAAAATGTGGCTCTCAAAATAAATTTCAATCGTGGTTTTGGCGAGATTTGGCTCAGTTGAAAAAAAAGGTTGCCCACCACTGCCCTAGACAGATATAATAAGGCATGATGTTAGGATTTGTGTGTTGCAAGGGTGAAAATTATGCAAAAACGGTATAAAAATGCAGATTACACTCATTGTGTCTATTTTGATCACCCTGCCTGTTGTGTGACTGCTAGAATTCCTGGAATAATGACAGTTGGGGGTTAAAAAGTAATGATCGCAATCCAACCTCCTTGTCAGCCTGATGCACAGATATTGAAGATATTAGATGTTAGTTCCCCTGAATGTCACAAGGCGCGCCATGTGCCGCCACTTATACTGCCTTCCTTCTCTTTTAGCTGTAAGACTAGAAAATGTTTTTAGGATGGAATTTTTTACCCTGACTCTTCACAGTTGTCCTTTGCAAGTACAGCAATAGGCCGGCACCATGTTCACAGAAATCAGGATGTTTTTACAGTCTTGATGAGTGGATCGAGGCAATAGATTAAACTTTTCAGTGAGCTACTGACCCAGTAATAACTGCAGATCTGTAATCCACTGCAGCAGGAATCCACAGAGCACCTCACAAGGTCAGTGGGAGTGTTTTCTTGAATCTCAGCTGTCTAACTTTCTCTCTTTTCTGTATTGGACAGCAACAGAAAAACTGTAGCTGCTGACTTTTAAAATACAGGCACTTAGCTGTCTCTCGGTCCAGCGGTGTCCTCTCCACTGCTGGTTTCTCCGGCCATCTTCTCTCCCTGGCACCGGCATCTTCAGTGTGTGCACCCAGCTGTGACAGCTTGAGGCTTCACAGCCGGGTGCCCACTGTGCATGCGCAAGAAGTTCTGCGCTTTGTGAATGGCCCCTTATGCAGGCCATAGATGGGTCAAAAACCGGCCATTTTTTTAAAACAAAAAAAATTGGTCGTTCAATAGGCCGACGTTACCACCAATGATAAAAAAAATCGCCCGATTTTCGTCCTGTCTGCGGCCAGCATTTAATTTCTTCTGTCCCTGCAGAGAGCTCCGCTATTATATTTGACATTAAAAAGTATAGCAGTTGCAACATTGTATCTATTTGTATCCATTTCGGATAGATGTTTTTATTCAGATACAAATAGATACATTGTTGCAACCGCAATACTTTTTCATGTCAAATATAATAGCGGTTCTTCTTCTCCTTCTTCTTCTTTTTCTTCTTTCCCATCATTGCCGCGAAAATCGTCTGATCGGCAAAATCAGCCGATTTGTTTCCAACTGTACCGATAAACAAAATGTGCCAAAATCCAGAAAAACGGCCAACCAATTAACCCATTAACAGTGCGAAAATTGCCCCATTTTTTTTTGGGCCGAAAAATCGGCCGATTTTCGACCCATCTATCGCCTGCATAAGTCTTCTGGGACCTGTCACATGTCCCACAAGACTTTGGGGAGGGAGGGTAGGAGGACAAATTCTGCTTCCAATCGCCTAGGTGATTGCAGCGGAAGTGGGAGCGGGTACCTGTCAAATTCGGGTACCCGCTCCCCAAAGGTGCCAATCCTTAATGGGAAGTGGGGAACAGAGGCTTAAAGCGGATTTTCCCCTTTTGGGTGGAGATCCGCTTTAATAATGTATTCAATGGATTTAATAATGTATGAAATGATTTCAAAGCTGCATTAGTGTCTTTTATATCTGACTTCAGCTTTAAAGCTTCATTGACCAATGATTCCTGCCCAGAAAAAAAATTCCCTTTCTAGCTAGCTTCCTCCTGTGCTTTTCAGCAGTTTCTCACTATCCTCCATATGGGGTTATTTCCCCACAAAATGCTCCTGCTGAGAGCAAAACAGTGCTGAATCCTATTCCAGGGCAATGGAAGAACCACAAAACTACACTGGAAAAGTATAGAAGCTACGATGAAATAAAACAATGCATTAAAGGCATAGTTCACCTTCAACAAAAAGCTTCCTTTGCAGGTAAGGGGTGTTTGTAGATGAAAACAAACTGTGCAGCTTTGAAGTTGAATAATGCCCTTGCTATTGTTGTAGGCCATTTACATACCTCCTGTAGCCTGACTGGAAAACTCCCTGAGACAGCATCATCCAATCCTGTCTTGTTTCTAGGATGTTGCTAAGAGACTCCCAGCTTCTACTAGTCATGTCCACCATCATAGGAACAAGCACTCAAAGGCTGAGCTCAGAGCTACAGCATCAGGGGAGAGAAGATGCATGTGTGAGGGTTTGAATCAGAGAAGTAGCTGGCATCTGTGATGGTGGAGGAGATGAACAGTATAAGCTGGGCATCTCTTTGCAACATCCAAGCAACAAGGCAGGACAGGATGATGTCATCTCTAGGTGTTTTTCAGTCAGGCTTCACTAACAACATCCTGGGAGTGTTTCAGTCAGGCTTCAGGAGGTACATAAATGTCCTTCACCTAGAGCAAAGGAATTATCCAACTTTCGTCAAAGCTGCACAGTTTCAGAATTGATTGAGCCAATCAATAAGCAAGCATTGGAAGGACCAAATTCAACCAGTTGAAAAGGAACAGTGGATCCTGGCAGAATATCCAATCATATTGTTCCAAATTCTTCTATTCCCTTTGTTGCATGAAATGACCATAGTGTGATTATGTAGCGCTGCGGAGGAACTACAAGTCTCAGCAGGCCCTATGATAGTATGTTGATTTGCTTTTCCCAACCCATGAAGAAATAAAATAACATATATATTCTCCATGAGCCACCACCACCCAGGCGTGTTTTATTGATGTCAGTGGCGGGCTGCCAGGGTGGCTGAGGCAGACAATGTGATGACCTGAAGCAATTCTCTGGCACTCAGTGACACAATTCCCCACAGAACTTTCTAAAAACATTTTGAAATACAATAAACAGTTTTCATTATCCATGTGGAACCTGCTGTGCTACATGGTGATTGTGAAATAAATAATGCGCAGTGGGCGGGGAAAGTGAATATAACATGACAATGCTGAGGGGAAAGGGATAAGGCCACCTCGGTGCCCCCTTCACTGGCACAAAGGCTTGAGGCCTGGCCTAGATTTGGACTAACACTGCAGCTAGGTGGTCTCCATGGCAATGGGCAGCACAGCAAAAGGTTTCCATGGCTATGGGTTTTTGTTCGGTTCATTCTGGAGCGGCCAGGCCAGAGGGCAGCATGCCCAAAGACATTGTACACCAATACTGTGGCGCCAGTAATGGGGCACCATCGGGTAACCCTGTCATGCCCTGATGGGGCTCCTATCTGTATGAGGTAAATTATGATCAGGCCTCATAAGCATTCAGTTATTAATGGCTTTTTAATGATAATTGAGCCCACAAAATGGCTGCCATTTTCCCTATGTACTGTAAGGAAAATGCCCCATTGCCCCTAGCAACCAACAAATTTTATAGTTGCAGTCCCATGAAAATAGAACAAGAATTTGGATTGGTTGCTATGAGCAATGAGAATTCAGTCTGTGCACTTTCATTCATCCGCCCACAAAATGGTAATTGATATTAGATGCCTTGAAGTCTCATTAAGGGCTGATTCACACCAGAACTTGGTACAGGAAAGGCGTGTTCTGTGTGTGTTTTCTGCACCACATTCAAAATGCACTGCCATTGCAATCTGCTGAGGGTGCTAATACATTGGTAATGGCACCCCAAACACAGTACCATGTGATTTGGTGCAGCGTATTTTTCAAAAGTACTGCAGGCACCATTTTTGTGCGTTCCAGTACAATTTGCAGCCCATTCAAATTATTGGACTGCCAAATTGCACTGCAGGGCAACATGCAGGAATTGCACAGGAATGTGGACCATGTTCCAGTGCAATTCGGGTGTGAACCTGGCTCTCAAGGTGCCAACATTGTTCTACATGGGTGCCAACATGGGTGCTCTCAAGGTGCCATCATCTGATTGTACAATCTCCTTTAGTTTGACCAACAGGAAGGTGGTATAAGGGCCTGCCTGGTGTCCTTTTAAAGTATATATTTAAGGTCAAAACT